AATTCTGCTCTCTACTGCAGATATGTCAGGGCTGGACATTGTCCTTTATAGAAAGGACTGTGATTCTGAACTATAAGGTGTATTTTGTTAGTTTTTATTTTTTTTATTTTTGCTATAGTGTTAAGTCTGTAGTTTGCAGTTGTAGTTTTGCATTTAGATTGTTTTGATTGTCTACTGCTCCCTAGTTGTGTTTTATGTTATTACAACTGTAAATAACGTGCCTTTGTAATTTTGCCATTACAGCTAGCAATAGTTTGCAAAGGCAATATCACTTTTACAGCGTGAATGTGAGAGATTGTCAGTATAGCCTCTTTGCAGATTGTTAGGTGCTAGCAGCTTCCTGATCTTGTGATCACTGATTGACTGTCCCAATCATAACTAGAGACTGGTAGCTGTGGGTGACAGCTCAGTCACTATGCTGGGAGCGCACAGTGAGCGCAGAAAACTCAGCGCTTTGGGTGCCTATGTGTGGAATGTAAGCGTCAAGACGCAGCCTTCTTGCTGCTGAACAAATGCGTGATGTGGTTGGCAATAGGTCAAACTTGTGTAAATGTCAGTATGACAAAGATTTGTTTTCCTTTTGATAGAATGTATGTATTAAAAATAGTAGCATGGCCTCTAATGTTTAGTTCATTGGTATAGACAGAGTACTGTTTCCCAGATATAGAAAGGATGACTTTGCTGACCTCTACTTCTCAAAATGCTAGTTGCCTCACCTTCAGGTTTTTTTTAATTTTGACTAACACCATGAGGTCATATAATTGGGTGTCTCTACCCTTGCTCCTATCTCATAGAAACCCCATCCCCATAAATTTGAGGTTAATCCAGACCTTGTCCCTTTTTTGTTTTTCTCATTGGCCCAAATATGATCTCTGTGCAAACAGCTACTCTTAACTTGCTGTAAAAAGGTTGTGGCTGTTCTACCAGGTGATGACCCTATGCTGGGATGGCTCTGTGGAAGGATGACTGCAGCTTGTATTGGCTTTGTTCCTAAGTAGTGGGACTACATCCAGGAGGTGATACCCTGACAACTCATTTTGCTTTTGCTTCCTGTGCTTTCAATCTTACACTCAAATTTTTGTATGCACCTCCCTACTCTTTGGGCATATGGGTCTTGCCAGTATTAGCACCTCCTTCACCATTAGCCTGCAGGTTCTTCTTATTTTGTTCTTCCCTTACTAATGATTTCCTGTACCTCTCTGCCCTGTGGGACATGTTTTTTTTCTTAGTCACACAGGTTCTGACTAGTGTTTATTTTTTTTTGCCAATATCTGGTGTTCAGTGTTACCCCTCATGGCAGCTGGAATGCTTCCTGCGCTACACAGTGGCTTGGGGAGGACTGTGCTGTGTCTTCCCTGCCCATGCATGTACTGTAAGTGATGGTGTCACCAGCCCAGGGGCAGACTTACCATTTGGAAACTCAGGCACTGCCCGAGGGCCCGGGGTCAGTAAGGGGCTCTATGAGATGCCCCTGGTACCTTTTTCATAGGCTTTTTTGGGCAAGGACACAGGGGCCCCATGATCCCCTATTGCCCGGGGGCCCCATGAGTTGTCAGTCTGCCCCTGCCCATGCATGCATAATTGTCCTTCATGGCCATTGTTATGGCCCTGGCAGGACATTTCCTCTGCTGTGCCTGCACAGTCAATCCAGGGCCTCAGCGCTCGCCAATTCAGTGACTTCACCCACCAAGCAGAATATTCAAGCTCCTTGAAGTATCCTCAAAGGAAAAAGAACTTCATATGATTTCATTAGCTATCTGTTCAGACAGCAATCTGTACCTCCAGATGCCTTTTTGTTCCTGTGCAGGAGAGTAGCAGCTATCGCTGTTTATTCCCCTTTTAGCCTGTGTACTTATGTACCCTTGTATTTCTACCTGCTAGATAGACACGTGTCTTTTTTCAACCCTACTAACTACTAACTATGTACAGCATGGGTTCAGCATCTGAGGTCCTCTGAGTGTCTTCTTGTTCTGTACAAGAGAGCACCTGTTATCATTATTAGTCCAATTTTTAGCCTGTGAACTGTATACTTATTTTTAAATGTATTTATTTATTTCACGAATCCCTCTGAAGAAGCCACGTGACCTGGTGGCGTAACGCGTAGGAGAGGGGCTCTGACGTCACGACGCATTCAGGATACTACACGGCGAGTATAGAGAGTGTGCAGAGCACACACCGAGGACGATTTGAATAATTAAAACGCGCACAAAATTTGTAAACCATGTGAGAATAATACTACTGCTTTATAAATAAAACCTTTTAAAAGGATAAATACACTATATTTTCTCTTCTTTCATGTTACCAACTATATGGAGGAATAAAGAGAGGAGGTGGAGGAAGTAAAAAGACCCCTGGAGGACAGAGGGAGAAATCCATCTATGCAGATCACGAACAGGGATCAGCAAGCCTAAGAGACCCCCTGTGGGAAAATTTAATTATTACACCCTGCTACCCATCATCATTTCTGGAATAAAGTTACAGTTTGAAAAATACCCTACCTGTCCACATAAAGACACACAGCTGTTTTAGCCTTACTGCATGGTTGGGCCAAAAATAAGGTGAGCTCATATAAAAGAAAGGTGTATCCAGTTTTTGATCACAATCACGGAGTGGACATATTTTTGGATTGGACAATAATTTTGGACATTGTGATATACTGAACACTATATATATATATATATATATATATATATATATATATATATATACATTTATTTAATATATTCATCTATTTATTCACATTTTGATTTTTTCATTACCTTTTTTGGCTCATAACTAGCTTATACACACATGTATATGAGTATGTGTAATAGTGTCAGCGAACCATAATACACATAAACACATTGTCTCACAAATTTGAAGTTTAATAAACTTTATTTTGTTTTAATTCACCATAGTAGCCCGCAAGCACCGTTCATTTTATTTATTTCAGGTACTTCTATAGTGCTGTCAATTTCCACAGTGTACATACATATATTGTACATTCACATCAGTCCCTAACCCTCAAGGAGTGTACAATCTAAAGTCCCTAACTTACATTCATACATACTAGGGCCAATTTAGACAGGAGCCATCTAACTTACCAGCATGTCTTTGGAGTGTGGAAGGAAACCCACACAGGAACAAGGAGAAAGTTTCCAATCTCCTCTTTCGATCTGGACCTTTCCCTATCATGTGACCACTGTGACGGTGTGTCATGGCGGTCACATGACCCTAAACCCCGCCCCGCCTCCCGGCTTCTGAAACCCTTAAAGGGCTGGGAGGCGCCGGTGCCAAGGGGTTAAACTCTGTGCATGGTGCCTTAAAAGACACTTACTTCCACTTTCCCATAGCATTTCCTATTCAAAAGTATTTGTATTACTCCATGTTTCAAGACCATCTGCAATTTACATGCTTGCAAGTTGGCCACTTAAAATGTTACTAAACCCACAACAGTAAAATCAGTCTGTATATGCAGTAAAGCATGCTTGTTAGACTCACTGTGGAACCTAAGGGGTTAATCCTCCACATTGTGTAAAAAGGCTGTTTGATCCTGTCTTCTCTGATCCCCCCCCTTCTTCCAGCGTCCCCCTCTTATCTCCTGATAAGGCATATCGTGTGGAGAAACTCTGCACATACTCAGTTTGGTGTGTATTGCTAGAGAGGTTTTTTTTTTCTTGGGAGAGTGCATGTGATCAGCACAGGGCCAATCAGCACAGGGCCAATCAGCACTGTCCAGACAGAGTGTCAGGGGTTATGCAGCCTCAATCAGGGGAGATCTCCTCCTACAAGCTTTAAGTGCTCTGCTTAGCTAGCTTGCCTTGGCTATTTCTCCAAAGTGATTCTCTATACTGATGAGTTCCAGAAGACTGAGCACTAATAAAGTTTAGGACAAGATATGTCCAGTTTGTGTCTGCCTCTGACTTATCCTGTTTAATGCGCTATTACCACAGCTATCTGTGAATCATAGATACACTTTTCCCCCCGAGAGGTCCCCATTTTGAGAACCCAGGAGTATAAATAGGCATTGCACTCTGGGCACATTGTGAATGTGGCAAAGTTGAGAGGCCAAGTGTCACAAGTGAGATTTTCATAGCCACGTACAAACCCCAACAGATTCATTTGTAATGTAGCACTACCCCCTTAGGAGTTGCTGAAGTGTTGGGTCCCCCTATAGTCCTGCACAACCAGGCAACACGCATTTTCTCAGACTAGTATTCCGTATACAGTACACAGTCCTTGAGCTGTTTTGTTTTTTTAATTTTATTAAGGGTATTGAACTTGGATGGGGTAGGGGTGTATGGGATGCCCAAGGGATAGCAAACTGAGTTCAAACTCCTTAGCAACTATGTACAAATCCATAGAAGAGTTTCTTCTTCTTGGCGAGCTCTCCAGCCTCTCCTGGTGTACCACCCCAAACTCCAGATAGTTCTCCTCTATCCAGCTTTCTGGAGGAATCCCGGGGCAAAGGGACCAGTGCCTGCCACTTTAATATGATACAGTTCTAGATAAGGAGTTACTTAGGTTTCCCACCAGAGTGGTATTTTCCTCTTAACTCAGCCAGGGGGTGTAGGATTACTCACTCAGTCTCTTTCCTGTGAGCTGGTGTAGGTAGGTGGCTGCCCTCAGACCTTCTGCTGGGCTGGCCCCTTTCCTGGCTGCACAGGTGGTCCTCACTCTGGAGGCCAGTGAGGCTGAGCAATCCTCCTGTCAAAGTCCCAGCCTGTAGGTAGGCCGCTTCCCACTGGGCCCCCTCCCACAGCCTACATTGTATTTACAAGAAGACCTTTATTACAGTCAGTGACGTATAGTATTGAATAAAGAATGGGCGGAGCAGGAGTATTGATGAGCTTGGATGTGTTTAGACCTGGATCTGACCCAACTTGTGCGAGGCTGCCAGGAAGCTGCCACCTGTAGAAATCATCTGCGGCTAGGGCATTCCCCGCAGCAATATGTGTATGTAAGCCGTGTACAGGGGTGGGCTCCCCAGGATACAGTAAAGGCATGAACGAGGAAAGCAGCCCCAACACCAGCTTTTGCCACAACAGAATTTTACTTAGATGTGGCAAATAAACACAACCACAAATGCTGGAAACATACAATAAATTTACATACACCCAGTCCAAAAGCTGAGACCCTTGTGCTGCACAGCATGGCGCCTTCTGATGGACGAAGGTAGAAAGTGAAGTAATTTACCTACTGGCGGGCACAACTAAGCTGCCACACCTTACCTGTTATTACCCTAAGAGAGCCGGAATCAGTGTATGGGTGTATGGTATGGGCTAGCCTGCGGTGCAGCACAACAGCTTACAATCTTACACAAATCTACAGTATTCTGAGTGCTGTGATCAGGAACACATCATACAGTATACAGCCCAGTGTACAAAGTGCAGTGGTCAGCAACATGTCATATACAGCTCAGTGTACAGCGTGCATTGGTAAGGAACATGCCACATACAGCCCAGTGTGCAGAGTGCATCGGTAAAGAGCATGCACATACAGCCCAGTGTGCAGAGTGCATCGGTAAGGAGCATGCCACATACAGCCCAGTGTGCAGAGTGCATCGGTAAGGAGCATGCCACATACAGCCCAGTGTGCAGAGCGCATCGGTAAGGAGCATGCCACATACAGCCCAGTGTGCAGAGCGCATCGGTAAGGAGCATGCCACATACAGCCCAGTGTGCAGAGCGCATCGGTAAGGAGCATGCCACATACAGCCCAGTGTGCAGAGCGCATCGGTAAGGAGCGTGCCACATACAGCCCAGTGTGCTGAGCGCATCGGTAAGGAACCTGCCACATACAGCCCAGTGTGCAGAGCGCATCGGTAAGGAGCATGCCACATACAGCCCAGTGTGCAGAGCGCATCGGTAAGTAGCATGCCACATACAGCCCAGTGTGCAGAGCGCATCGGTAAGGAGCATGCCACATACAGCCCAGTGTGCAGAGCGCATCGGTAAGGAGCGTGCCACATACAGCCCAGTGTGCAGAGCGCATCGGTAAGGAGCATGCCACATACAGCCCAGTGTGCAGAGCTCATCGGTAAGGAGCGTGCCACATACAGCCCAGTGTGCTGAGCGCATCGGTAAGGAACCTGCCACATACAGCCCAGTGTGCAGAGCGCATCGGTAAGGAGCATGCCACATACAGCCCAGTGTGCAGAACGCATCGGTAAGTAGCATGCCACATACAGCCCAGTGTGCAGAGCGCATCGGTAAGGAACCTGCCACATACAGCCCAGTGTGCAGAGCGCATCGGTAAGGAGCATGCCACATACAGCCCAGTGTGCAGAGCACATTGGTAAGGAGCATGCCACATACAGCCCAGTGTGCAGAGTGCAGGGGTCAGGAATCTGTCATATAGAGTGGCTATGAAGTTGTGGCTTCATTTAGAGATTCTGATGGTCTCTTTATCGCTTGCTCTGGTAAGAACAAAGGAAAACCAGCATCGTCCAGAACCACTGCTGAATGGATTGCGCTGGCTATTCAACTGTCCTATAAGCAAAAGGCAAAAGCTCAGAACACAAGGCAAAAGGGTTGGCTCCTCCGGAGGCAGTGACAGCACACTCAACCAATAGTGTGCCAGCAATTTCCTATCACATGGTGCCAGAAGTCATTTGCAAGTCGGCAATGTGGTCCTCCATGAATGTGTTTATGGCTCATTACATCAAGGAGTGAGCATCTTTTTCTCCTGTTGATTTTAGACTTCTGTCAACAAAGAGTTGTAATTAAAACTTTCAGTATGCCACTCGTGTTTGTAGTGAGTTGTTTCCCAATGTTATGCTGCCATGGTGTTAGACAGAATTCCCTTTGAAATACTTATAGTAGTTTTCCTTTCCTGACTTAACTCCTTGGCAGCATAAAATTCCTACCAGTTTGACGTGTAGAATCATTACTGAGCATATTTCCTGGATCAGCCACACATTTATGGGAATTGGGTGCTATGCAGTAGGAGTGAGGGCAGAGACACTCAATCGCATGTAGCCATGGAGTCAGGAAAGAAAATTACAGTATGTATTTGATAGGGAATTTACTATTTTCCCTTTACTTGCTATCCTTAATACATCTCAGAAAGTAAGAGGAAATCTCTCCAAAATGAGAAGAAATGCCCTCTTAGACCAGGAAGATTTTCCCTTTCCCCTTGTAAAATTCAGGGTTTCTGATCATCTTCTATCCCAGCGACAGTGGTCTGTGAGAGAAACAGAGAAGGTGAAATGCCCCAGAAGGGTCACAGATTCTAACCTTTCCTCACGCTATCCAAATCTAAAAAAACAAACATTTTCTCTTTAGATACAATTTAACAGCAAACCTGTCAAAATACTAAAAAGTAAAATCAAACAACCTTTATAATGTAAAAAATGTAGCATTCCAGTGATTCCAATGTAACCAGTATAACAACCACAAGATGGCAGGCTTATATAATATAAGATGTCACTATTTCTAAAACCACTACATTCCCAACTCAGGAAAGCTTCAGTGTATTCATTTTTTAAATATTTATTTATTACAGTTACTTATATAGAGTTGTCAATTTATGCAGGGCTTTACATACATATTGAACATTCACATAAGTGACTAACCCTCAAAGAGCGTACAATCCAGGCCCAGACTGGCCTTAGGGCACACCAGGCATTTGTCTGGTGGGCTGCAGCCATCTGGATAAGAGGGGTGGCAGAACAGCATATAGAGGAACCAATCTGTCCACTTCCCTCCTGCCACTGCAGAATGCCTGCTTCTCCTCCTCTCCCTCCTGCAGGTATTCGGTGGCTGCAGGAGAGAAATGGATGGATCAGTTCCTCTAAATGCCACCCCACCTATCCATCTTCTTTCTGCTGCCCCCTGGCCCCTGTCCTCTTTCCTGGTCCCCCTGTGCTTTCTCTGGGCCCCTGTGTGCTCTCTCCTGACCCCCTCCTCCCATGCAACATTGTAGAGTTCCCCCCTTCCCTCTCCTGTGGCTGCTGCGGCGCATCTGTCAGGATGGGGAAGAGGTTGGTAAATAATTAATTTACCTGCCCCTTCCATGTCTGAGTGGACAATCAGTGATCGGTACCAGTCACTGACTTTGTCCATTCATAACTGAGGCACAGGAAACTATTTTTACTCTGGAGATGTCAGGTGTTGTCAGCGTTCCTACATCGTTCTGACAGACATGGTCTTGCTCTCCATTGTTTGATTCTGACCACTGTTTCATGCATTTTTATTATCATGTAAGTTCATATGCTTTAATAAATATATGCCTTTTAAAGAAGCCAACTTCATTATGGTCTACTTTGTGGTTGGGGAGCTTTATCCACAGAGTTGGCTGTACTGAACCAGCTGCCATTTGTGAAGGTTCAAAGGTGATCCATAAGGGGAAGAGTGCACAGAGGAGCAAGTTATGTGTTACCCCCACTAATAGGGGAGATGCTTTGTTTGACCTGTGTCCACATACAGGTCCATGTGAGAAGGTGACAGTCCACCTGGAAGTCTATGTTCACTGTGGTGATTCACATGTATTGAAGATTTACAGCACTGGGATTTTGGATGCAGTCACCAAAAGGAAGATTTTTCACTTATTTGGATTTGTTTGAAGAATTGCATTTATATTTTGTTTTATCATCTTTTGGGACTATCAGTCACGTTTTTGTTCGTATATCTACATGTATAGTTTTATGCTAGCAGCACAACACTTTTATTCATTTTAGTCTATTTTTACTTCAGATTATGATTGAACAGGAATCTCTGTACAGAGGTATTCCTGTCCATTCATATTGTGCTTCTGAGGCTGCAGATATAGAAATTGAAGGTTGTGTGCTCAATTTCCTTTCTCTGTCTCAAAGGTGAGATGTCAGGGGTCTGTCAAGGGATTTAATCAAAGCCCTGCAACAGGGCTCCTAAAAAAATTGTAAAAAATAAAATTGTAAAAATAAATAAAATAAAATGGTAAAAAAGAATAAAAAAATAAAATAAAAAACTACTGACACTTGTGCTCAGGCCCTGGCGTTCCTCCACTGGGCTCCAAGGGAGGGGCCCCTGAGCTGGGGCAGTTCAGTCTAAAATGCCCATGCCTATTTTTTGTCCTAGTCCAATCTAAAGTCCCTAATTCACATATTAGAGCCAATTTATACAGGAGCCAGTTAACCTACCAGCATGTCTTTGGAGTGTGGGAAGAAACAGGAGTACCCAGAGTAAACCCACGCAGGTACAGGGAAAATAAGCAAACTCCATGCAGGTGGTGCCGTGGCTGGAATTTGAACCAGCGACCCTAGTGCTGCCAGGCGGAAGTGCTAACCATTTAGCCACTGTGCTGCTGTATATCTGTAGCTCATTAAATATTCATTTAAGAAAAAAATTAGACTGATTTTTATGTCTTATTCTTTGTTTTTTTGTTTTGTACACATTCAGTTTAAATATACAGTTTACATCACCATAGCTCTCTGCACTTTTCAAACAGACTAAAGAAACAAAACATCATTCAGTATTCAAACAGACCTTCCTGTCTCTTCTTTATCTGAAATCACCAGCATTAATGAAATAAGTATTGCCAAATAAATATATCTAATTCAGGGGTGGACTGACAACTCATGGGGCCCTTGGGCAATAGGGGATCATGGGGCCTCTGTGTCCTTGTCCAAACTCAAAAAGCCTATGAAAAAGGTACCAGGGGCATCTCATGGGGCCCCCTACTGACCCCGGGCCCTCGGGCAGCACCCGAGTTTCCAAATGGTCAGTCCGCCCCCCTGATCTAATTAATATTGGTTGCCTCATTTCTTACTGTGTCCCATATGCTAATGCCCCATTCCCCCCCCCCCCCCATGTACATCGCTTCACCATTTTACCAGTTGAAATCATCAGTGGCCAGCTTCTTATTCTGTGTTTTCTGTGCCAGCTCATCACTGATGTCACTGGCAGATTCTTGCTGTGTTCTCACTTTTGCTTTGTTGCTTTTTCCATCCAAGATCCTCTTGGGAGATTTGCAATTTCACAAGATCTCACAATTTACAAACAAGATCTCCCTGGAAGGTAGAAGGTTTTTTCCCTTTTTGCATTCTATGTATGAAGGTAAAAAACCTTCTGAGTGAAGCTTTCCCCCCGCAGCCCCCTTCTTACATTCACCTGAGCCCAATCCCGATCCAGCAGTGTGCACATGAGTCGAGGCTCTCTCGGCTCTCTCACATATTATTGGCTTTGACACAATGGCTCCTACAGCTGTGGGGGTGGTGCCAAGTCATGCTCTGTGAGTTTTATGGACACACAGTGTCGGCTCACGAGCAAGCATGCATGAGTGCCCCCAGAGCAAGCATCTTGCTCTGGGGGTACTTGGCAGGGGAAGAGGACCCAGGAGCGCTGGCAGAGGACCTGAGAAGAGGAGGATCGGGGCTATTCTGTACAAAACCACCAAAGGGCAGGTAAGTATGACCAGTTTGTTATTTAAAAAAAAAAACTTTAATATCACTTTAATATTTTTCTCTGTATCAGTATAAATCCAGTACCTTCTGATTTACTATTGATCCTGAACTTCTTCATTGGGAAGACTTAAAAATACAGGCTGCCTTTGCTGACTTCCCCTTTTGAAAATGCTATCTGCCTACATAACATGCTAATCCAATTATGTAACTCTTCTGGAACAAGTATGCTGATCAGTTCCTATTTCCCTTTTTCTGCACAATTTTCCAGGTCTGAAGACCAAAATTTGGCTTACATATTGTTCTCAATATAGGTGTCTTTTGCATTTGCCAAGATTCTTTGTCTAGAAATGTGATTTTCACTGATGGTAATCTTAGCTTTAAATTAGGATGATGATTTTATATATATGGTAATGATTATATATAATATACTGTATATCATAATATTTTTTAGCATTCAGAACTGTTAGGGCCTGTGTCAACTGCTTCTCTTCCCATAGAAATCAGTGGGTATGCAAAATAGCTCAAAGCTTTCTAATGCAGTGAATGATCTCTGAAATGTCTCTGTCAAATGCAAGTGGAATGTACCAGAAAAGTAAACTGCATTTGCTCAATGGGGTTGTGCATTTGGGGCTTCAAAAATATGGAGAGAGAGAATGTAACACTGTGACTGCCATACTCATAAAATCAACTTTGATGAGCCATGTGCTAATATTGTCATACTATGGGGCTTAGATGTTGTGTTCCATGCCAAACCATTATCTGTGCAGGAGCAAACATCCTACATACTTGTGAGGTTCATTTGCAGAACTCTATGAGTATGGAATGTGTATACTGTAACTAATGACAAATTTATATAAAAATGTACCATTCCAAATTAGCTGTTCTAGGAACAGGTACACTTTTGCTAGTATGCATTACAAGAGATGTTAATGATTTGTATTAGGAATCATTTAAAAATGTAAATATAGTTGCCACCCATCAGTGCTGCCCAGCAGTACCGTCAATCAGTGCCGGCAGTCAGTGCTATCAGTCAGTGCCATCAGTCAGAGCCGCCCATCAGTGCCGCCTATCAGTGTCCATCAGTGATGCATATCAGTGGAGCATCATCAGTGCCTCTTCATCTATGCCTGCCAGTGCCGCCTCATCAGTGCAGCCTATCAGTGCCCATCAGTGCTGCCTATCCGTGCCACCTCATCAGTGCCCATCAGTGCTGCTTATCAGTGCCCAGCAGTGCTGCCTATCAGGGCAGCCTCATCAACGCACGTCAGTGAAGGAGAAAAATTACCTGTATGCAAAATGTTATAATAGAAACAAAGAAAAACATTTTTTTTCAAAATGTTCAGTCTTTTTTTGTTTATAGGGCAAAAAATAAAACACCTAGTAGTGATTTAATACCATCAAAAGAAAGCTCTATTTGTGTGAAAAAAATTATAACAATTTCATATGGGTACAGTGTTGCATGACCGTGCAATTGTCATTCAAAGTGCGCCAGTGCTGAAAGTTGAAAAGTGGCCTGGGGATGAAGGGGGTAAAAGTGCCCAGTAGGCAAGTGGTTAAAGAAAAAAAAAAAACATGTCCGACAATATAAATTTCTTGTCAATCTTGTCATCCAGTGATGCAGATCCTCATCAATCACTATGAATGATAATCACAATGACCAGAGAAAGGAAAAAAACAGCAAACGCTCATGGCGATCTGACCACAATGGATGCCATGTCACAACTGAAAGCTGAATGTAGGCAAATGGTCCAGAAACTGATGTCATTGACCAAATAGAGTCTTTACCAGATTTGATCAATAAACAGGAACCTCATCCATACCTCATCTTATGTTGCTATTTTACCCAGAATTCCTAAAGTGAAACATCCTCCTAGCCTATATCTTTTGTTATAGGAAACAAATTAGTAGTATCAGTAAACTGAGTTTAGAAGATGTTATGGTACTACTTTTATCACTTAATGTTTTACTGTTGGTTTTAAGGTTTTCTCTACTGAACTGTGTTTCTATCCTGGTGCTTTGACTTCTGCTTTATTGTTGATTTATATTCTAGTTCACTTCAAACAAAATTTCAGTATACATGTACAGATTATTAGATTATTATTAATTTAAAAAATGCAGAAACACGATAGAGAAGCAGATTCATTTTATTCACTTTATTATTAGCTTGACAGTATGCAAATTAATATCAATGTAATTATATAAGACTCTTAGAGACCAGCATAGAGAAAAAAAATTACAGCTAAATGTCCCAAATTAATGACTAGCCAATCAGAAAAACACACCATCAGGCTTATTCAGGAAGTCAGTACAAACTGCAATTACAGTACATAATAGCTTATTCAGACAAGCAAAAAGCTATGTCTCTTACATGCAAATTAATGTTTTGAGCAAATAAACTGAATTTTCTGCAAGTTTGTCAGATTTCATTTGCCATTGTGAATGTTTGGAGCTGTCAGGGAATTACCTGTTTACCTAAATTTTCCAACTAACTACTTTGTCTTCAGTAGATCTCCAATTTATTTCAGAAAATCATATCTCAAAGCCTAAGTGTAAATTCTAAGCCCTTCTACCACTTCCATTACCACAGTAAGCAAGTGCTAAGAGGTGGCCTAGTAGTCAGGGAAAAAAAAGTAGTAGTAGTAGGACTAGTAATAACCATGAGTATAATTTCTATCATGGCATAATTGTTAATGCTTCTACACAAAATTACTCTATTACCCTAAAACAAACATATTTTTGTTTTTTTTTTTGCAAGACTATGCTTTCTTATCATATTTTAGCTGAGCAGCCATGTCATAAGATTTTTATCAGTTTGATGAAAACTGCAGTATCAATATCAATAACCTCTCCAAGTTCAGAAGACAACAAAGCTATACTAGTAAAACAGCTAAACAAATACTGCACAAAAAGCAAGGGGTATGTGACTAGCAGGGGCGGACTGACCATTTGGAAACTCGGGCACTGCCCGAGGTCCCGGGGTCAGTAGGGGGCCTTGTGATCCCCTATTGCCTGGGGGGGCCCCATGAGTTGTCAGTCCGCCCCTGGTGACTAGCAAAGAATCCTGTGCATCCGGCACCAGTCCTAGACTGGAGACTTTGCAGCAGTCAGTGCCAGCATCAATGTCAATTTCTACAATCCTCAAAAATACAGTATTGGATCTGCATTATCTTTACATGTACAGCAATGTTTAATTTGCCCAGGTCCCATAGCCCATGTGGGCTGCTACAGTATACCTTTAGTTGTACTGTCTCTGTGCTTTGAACTGTTTTACTGAACAACCTCACTTAGTTTAATTACTTAGTTAAAAATCTACTATATTTTCCATATATGCTAAGATTCCAACAAAAAAAATCTACACAACTAAAATACAACACAGAGAAAAGAAAGAATAGCCAATTAAACCTTTAATACTAATGTAACATACTCCTTTCAGTTGAAAACAAGCATAACAATGTAAAATTGTGCCAAACAGACTGAGGAATGCATGAAGAAATCATTTGTTGATAAATCCATGTGCTGCTTAGAACACTATAATGGTCCGTATCCTAAAGTCAGAAGAGGGGGAGAAATTTTATTTGCAGTGTTTAGGATTTAAGTATCATATACAGTATTTTCAGTACAGTGAGGGCTTATTATAGAGAAACAAAAGTCTACATTTCCTGGTTTTACTATGCATATGATATTAATTTACTAGGGAATTTATTCATGTCATTGTTTTAATTCCTTGATTTCAATGAGATGGTTTATAACTGTAAATCCCTTTATGTGAAAGATTGTACTAGATCAGTATTTCTCAACCTTTTTTCAGGCAAATGGCACCCTTTAAAATTATTGACAGTCTCGAGGCACCCTTTAAAATTAGGAACAGTCTTGAGGCACTCCATTCTAACATGGGGTGCCTCAAGACTGTCCATAATTTTAAAACCGTGAAAACCTATTCTAACAGTTTTATATAATGCAGCAACATCCACACATGTAGGACACCCATCATTAGAGGGCATTTATTCTTCCAAATCAAATACACCTTTGCACATTGGTACTGACTAGTATTCCGGTGTTTATCTTCTCCCTCAATTTTTCTCCATCAACTGCTGATGTGACCCCAGCGTTGATGGAGAGGGGCAGGGCAGAGTCAAACTAGGATGCTGTGCAGGCAACCGACATCCTCCTTATCAACGGATGATGTCATTGGTTGTTAAGATGCCGGTGACTAGAAGGTCATAATGGTGCACCATAAAAACCTGTGGCTTTGTGCAACTAAAAGGCAGTCGTGTTCCACTCACTGGCTTGTATACAGGTTTTGGGCAATTTTTAGAAATGGCACCCCTAAAGAAACCTCAAGGCACCCCAGGGTGCCTGGGCACCCTGGTTGAGAAAGACTTTACTAGATTTTAAAACCTGTGTTAAAGTGATTCTAAATGTCGTATTTTTAATTTTTCTTTAATAAAAAACATTTTATACTTACCTGCTCTGTGCAATGGACCCCACTGGTGGTCCTTGCTCCTCTCACATGCTGAATGCCCCCAATAGCAAGCCTCTTGCTAAGGGGGCACTTGAACATTGTCCATGCACACACAGAACGCAGCCCTGCCCCCACCCCCCGCTTTCTTCTTATTGGTTCATAGGCTGTGATTCACAGCAGCAGGAGCAAATGGCTGCTGCTGCTATGTGAGCCAAGAAGACTCGGTAGATCCACTGATCTCATGCACATTACTGGATCCAGATGGGGCTCTGGTAAATATAAGTGGTTGCTAAACTGCACCCAGAAGGTTTTTTTACCTTAATGCATAGAACTCAATAATGCATGCTTCTGCCTTTAGAACAACTTTAAATATTGGACCTTGTATTAAAGTCTGTTTTTCAGTCTGCTCCCCCCTCCCCTTACTGAAATGCCATATTAAATGTATTAAAAGAAAAAACATCTGTAGGGGAAAAAGGTTAGATACTATAGTTCATTTTCCCCGACTTCTTTAGTGCAGGGATTATGTCACCATCCCTCCCACAAATCCTGGGAAATGCTGAGCACTCTCAAAATCGAGGCTACAGCAAATTGCAGGACTGTTTTTTCAGTGAGCATTGGACCTTCCTAGAAGAAGGATTGTCTCTCCTTCCTTGAGGTACCATGGGAGGAAGGTAAGTATATTATTTAGATTTTTTCCCTAAAAGTGTTTTATGTGTAGTTTTAGCAAGTGGGGGGGGGGGGGGTATACTACAGAAGTAGTTTTTGTTATTTAGGTGCATGATCCACTTTAATCCACACCGAGGGAGGACTTGGAACTTTTTATCTGGAAGGCAAACATGATGAACAAGCCCTTTCATGGTGGTGACAACTTCCTGTTGACTAAAGAAAGTTCCCCACACGAAATAGCCAATGTGGAAGGTAGGTCTTATAAAATGGTTTATTTTAACAAAACTTAAAGTGTTACTAAATCCAGGACCCTGCATTCAAGATATCTGGTCTCCCACAGTACACAGACCATGGAAATGCAATTATTGTAGTAAATGTAAACTGCTAAATACCTTTTCTTATCAGCAGTATATAGCAGTCTTGCGATCTCTATTAGTGTCCAGCAGAGCACTCGTTAAAGCTTGTAAGAGGATTTTTCCTTCTCCGCTGATTGTCCTATGAGGCTGCATGACCCCTGACCCTCTGTCAGGACAGCGATGATTGGCCCTGTGCTGATCACATGCACTCTCCCAAGAACAAATAAACTCTCTGGCAATACATACCAAACGGAGCATGTGCAGCTTGCCCCCAAGGCTCTGTTCTATCAGCAGATGGATTTGGGACAGTAGAAGAAGGGGAAGACAGAATCAAACATCCTTTTTACGCAATGCAGAGGATTAACTCCTTATGTTACACAGTAAGTATAACAAGAATGCTTTATTGCATATACAGACTGATTTTACTGTTGTGGGTTTAGTAACACTTTAATAACAAAATCACAGGTTAGAACAGGGAGCAGGTAACTAAAAAGTGCCTGTCTGTCACTAACTACAGGTCCTGCTCTGATTAAATTTTAATGGGAGAATCTCTCCACTCAGGGCTACCGGTACAACATATACTATATGTACTGGCTCAGGGGGCAAATGCCCCTCTGCCCCAGCTCACTCCAGTCTAGTCCTCCCTAGATTCACCCATCTACACTATGTTCTGTATACTATATATCTAAAAGATTATAAGCAAAACATGTTTTAATATTATACTTGAGACTTCACATAGTTTTATACTGAGTATAATTTAATT